GTAAAAATGATCCTCAAAAGTTTTGTTACGCGTGTGGCAACTATATATTTACAAAATCGGTCAATTTCACTGCTTCGTTGCAAACTGCATACAGGCTTTATTTTAAAATTGATCCTGGAGACTTTGACGAACCGTGGATTCCAAAAGTATTATGTAGTTCGTGCAAAACGTGCTTGGCTAGGTGGATGTCAGACGCAAGGTAAATTGATTTTTTGAATAACTTTCATATAAACAATTTATGTACAGCATGGTAGTGCTTTGTTCTTTCCTGATCGACATTATCTTACTTCATCTATTTTTGATAAGTGTTAATGTCTTACTTACTAACTCACTTATTTGTTATCTGTCAGTCGCTATTTGTCCTTTGACATGCCCACCATATGGCGTCGACCGTTTTGTCATGCAACGGATTGTTATTTCTGCTTGACAAAAGTTAAGCAACAAGGACGTCACAAAACAGTTGAGTATCCACAAGTGGCTTCTATGACAATACAACACCTGTTCCACATTCAAGTTCGGTCCCGTATCCTGTTTATCCGAAGCGGAAACGAGCGCCCTCTGTTGAATCGACCGTTACAAAAAGTGAGGAGGAATTCAAGGAGAAATGCGAGGAAGACTTCGAGGTGGAATTGGAAAGAAACCCAAAACTGTTTACACAATCCGAATTTAATGATTTGGTGCGAGATCTCGACTTATCGAAGGAGAAATCCGAATTGCTGGCATCACGCTTGAAAGAACACAACATGCTGAGCAAGGAGGTCAAAATTTCTTGTCACAGGAATCGTCACAAGAAATTTGACAAATATTATTCTACAAAGGACAAGGCATGTTTTTGCCATGACGTAAACGGCTTGTTTGAAGAGTTTGGTGAGCCATATGATCCAGCTGAATGGCGTTTATTCATCGATAGCAGCAAGTTGAGCTTGAAAGCCGTTTTACTGCATCAAGGGAATGAGAAACCTTCTATTCCATTAGCTCATGCCGTTAATATGAAGGAAACGTATGAATCAATGGCTCTATTGCTCAATTTGATAAATTACAATCAACACAATTGGAAAATTTGTTCCGATCTTAAAGTGGTTGCCATGTTGACTGGATTGCAACAGGGATACACAAAATATATGAGTTTTTTTGTGTAAATGGGACAGTCGAGCTCGTAAGGAACACTACGTCCGAAAAGATTGGCCAAAACGGGATAATTTCACAATTGGTAAAGACAACGTTAAAAATGATCCTCTTGTGGTAAAAGAACGCATAATACATAAAACTTGGGCTATTCAAAAATTTCGTCAAAGCGTTGCAAAAAGAAGGGCCGGCATTCCAGTACTTGAAATCAGTATTTCCAGATTTATCTGACGCAAAGATAAAGGAAGGTGTATTTGTTGGCCCACAGATCAAAAAACTGCTCAATGATTCCGCATTCAATACAGTTTTGACACCAGATGAGGAAGAAGCGTGGAAATCGTTCCAGCGTGTTGTCACAACCTTTTTAGGAAATTTCAGAAGCCCAGATTATGAGGAAGCCGTCGATGAATTGCTCAAAAATTATGAGAAAATAGGTATAAATCAAAAATATTGTGTTTGTTACATATAATTAATTTCAAATCATTTTATTTCACTGAACACAGGTGTGAATATGTCTTTGAAGATACATTTCCTACATTCTCACATGGATTTTTTCCCGGAAAATCTTGGTGACGAGAGTGATGAGCACGGCGAACGTTTTCACCAACAAATGAAGATGATGGAACGTCGTTACCAAGGGTTTTGGGATGAAGCAATGATGGGTGACTATGGCTGGTTTCTGATTCGAGAAACAAGTTCAAAACATCGAAGACAAAGTCATTCGATTCTCAATCATTTTTAATAAAACCTAAATAAATTTCTTTTGTATCCACTCGGTTTTAAATCCTGATATGCCTTAATCAAATTGATATGTAGAGAAAATAATCTCCCATGAAAACTTTACATGCGATTTGGATGCTTACAACGACACCTAGAAAAGGAACTCTAAAGCTGTTGTATTTCAGCAACATTTTTAAGTGTTTTACAAAAATGCTCATAACTTCGACAATTTCCAACCGATTTCATCCATTAAAGGCTCATTTTCTCCGGTTTTTAATGGACTTTAAGAATAAATTATGGAATGATTTTTCGAATCTTTTTATCCCATTAAAAATGTTGATTAAAACAAGATTTTTATGGAAAATTCGCAGAAAAAATAAAAAAAATGCTGTAAATTTTTAAATGACTTCAAAATTAAAGTTTTAATTTAGACATAATATTCTAGTGAACGATAGCAAATTTATTTAGCTTCATTTTCATAAAAAAAGATTTAAAATTGGTGCACTAGTTTCAAAGATATTGACATTTTAGTAATCGTACTTTTGTCCAAAATTCAAAAAATCAAAATTTTTGTATATCTCAAAAATGGCTCTACTTTAATTTTTTCTGACCACGGCATTGAATTCAGCGTAGGATTTTGCATTGGAAATGATCATCACCTTACTGAGTTCAAAAATGCTGTAAACTAGTGTAATCGAAGATAGCAAACTCAAATTTTGCAGGATAACAATCGTCTCCTAGAGAAGCTAGAGTGTGAAGAATTGAAGCACTTGTGTCGTTCTTAGGAGACGCAGAAGTTTTACAAAAAGTTAAAGGGGTAAGTGGGTAAGGTTGAAGGTATCTTGAGATGATCAAAATTTGACAACAGCATTCGCAGCATTACGATGAACACCTGAATGCCGCTGAGCCAGGAACCATGAATGCAGGAGGGATTACTTCATTGGTACAATGAACGAGGGTGACATGACAAGGCAACTCCCACGATAAGTGATGCCATCTAACAACTAAAAGCCCAATAAGGCAGCTGGGAAGGATTACATAGGAGCGGAAACTATGTAAATAAGTTTAGTCGACTGCTGTAGCTACCCGAGGAGTGAAAAGGCTGAATCCAATATACTATTGGTGAATTGACAAGTATCACCGTGACTCTCCATTTGATTTGCACGGAGACTCACTTCACGCGAGCTTACAATACTGTAGACTGTGAAGAGCGATTTTCCAGGAAAATTGGCCAGATTGATCAAGACTACGCTGAATGCTATACAATACAGTCTGAAGATATCGGATGCGTTTATCAGACTCGTTTGAAATACACAGAGGACTTTTACAAGACTATGATCTCTTTCCTGCCTCCTTGTTCAAAATTGTGCTAGTGCTAGAAGGTGGTTTGCAACGTGCGGATTTTAACTTGTGGAGCTCCATCTTCAATAAATCCAGCCAGCTCATTTTCGTCGCTGACGAAATGGAAATTTTCGGAAAAACGTTTGAGATAGAGTAAAATCAGTACACCAGACTGAAACGTGAAGCAGAAATTGGATCAAAGGTGAATAGGTACGTCGAAGAAAAAGTTGGCTGGATCAACTTTTCCGCGTAGATTCCTATTTGGGGTCAACCGATAACAATCCAGAAGTGACGAATAATTGTGCAACTAGGGAAAAAGCCATCAAAGTAAGAATCGTTAAAAATCACCAGAAAACCCTCACCAAAACACGTGCTCGGTTTGTTGAGTGATTATATCATCAGCGAAAAAAAAGTCAAACAATCCCAAACATTATACTGTACACAACAATGTTTTGCATTCTACGCACGAGAGGAAGAGATGAAACACTAGCATGTATGGAAACGGACTGGTGCCTATATCATAAAAAAGTAAGATAGCGCGTTCGGCAGTAACAATTCCTATGCGTTCATGTCCAGTAAAAGTGAATCAAAGGGCGATAAAGCAATAAGGAGCAAAAATCACAGCAAAGAAAGCGTTTGTCTGAAGTTTAAGTCTGTTTATGTGGTGACATGTATCTGAGTCTGTATAGATGTGTAACTGAGAGCAGTACCCTACACTGCAAGTTGTATTGGCTTGCTTGTTATCAGCGTTAAGCGAGAAGTGCAATTTATGTATTTCAGCGTTTTTTTTTTCGATACCAGTTTGTTTTACGCACACACACACATTACTCAGCGATGGGAATACTCACAATGTTTCGAAACAACAGTTGTCAGTTGCATATGATGTCGGGTCGAGTTTTGTTTTCATGTTATCACGTGATTCAGGTTAGTCGAACATCATACATTTCACGCGCATCACGCCAAACGGAACCGAAACACAGATACATGGCCAAAGTCCGGCACAAAAATGGAAGAGATTGAATGTAAACAGAAAGGCTTTTAGGTTGATGTTTATTTTCGTCAAGCGATCAAAAAAAAAGTCTACAAACAAATATGGTTGGTATGCAAAGCCAGATAAGATCGATCGAGTTCCCCCTCCCAATATCCCTAACAGGCTATTGTCAGCTTGTTTTTATACCTTACAAAACTCTCACAACCTTCTTATCAGCTCGTAACGGTAGAAATGCGACACTGAATGATAGCGAGCCATAGTTTGAATCTCTTCTTCGCTTGGAATGTTTCTTTGCGTTCCACATGAACGATTTCTTAGCTCGCGTGCTCAAAGACCAACCCCCTATGATTGCTTCCTTTTTTGCGCCCTCTTTCTCTCGGGACCGACAACAGTCAATTATAGATAGCTAATTTTACGACGTTCCACTATTACAACCTCTTTCCTGCTTTGTTTTGGTGGGGAATCTAAATCAGCAATAAAATAGTTATTGGAGTAAGGAATGGATGGAGGGAAACTAGTTTTGTAGGTCGTTGGCAAATTTTGGAAAGGGGATTATATGCTACTAGTTTTGTTTCGCGGAGAAAGGACACAATTAATTTGCATTTTCCTAGCTGAATTGCAGTTCTCTTGCATTGAAATCACAGCTAATTCAACTTCTACCGGGCACAGATTTGATGCTTTCTGGTTTATACATGTACAGAGATGGACAACATTTAGATTTTCATAAATAAATTGTTGGTTTAAATATATCGAAAGCCTCTGGTAAGCCGAACTCAAAAAATATAGCATCACTCACAAACACACACACACACGCATGCCTTACCTTGTTGCTGGCGAAAATTCCGAAGAGTCCAACCCGCTTTTTCAGCTTGTTCGTGGTGGTACCCTTCGCCGTGAGGTGGTTCAGTCCGCTGGTGGAGGTGTAGTTCTGCGAGTTGTTGGAGGTGTCCGAGTCCGCTTTCGAGAGATCCTCGAATGGCAAATCCCCGGGAGGTTGAAAGCCGGATTGATACCTTTTTCGAAGAGCGAAACATTAATCCATTACCTTGACTGTTACAAACTTTCAATTTCGATTCCGACTTACTTTTCTATGACTTTTAGCGAGTCTTCCTTCTCGTTGATGGCATCCGCTGCTTTGACCATGCCCTCGAGGCACCTCGCAATGATGGGAGCCACCGCCGATTCGACGTCCGCTGCACCTTTGATGAATTCCTTCAGTCCTCGTGTTCTCTTCTCGTCGAGCTCTTGTAATCGGTTGAAAACCTGTCAATGACATGATCGTAAATCGAAAATCTTGTTTCACACTCCCCGCATCCTCTCACCTCTGGCAACGACGTTTCGAAGTGCGTCTGCTGCAGTTTGTTCGTCTTCTGCAGCTGGTTGGCGTATTCGTTTTTCGCATCCTCCGACTGACCGCAGCGGATGTTCATGTTGTTTCGCTGCTTTTCCACCTCCGCCCTGCTCAGGTTCAGGTCGGCATCTGCTTTCTGGTAGCTTTCGATGGACTTTTCTGCCTCACGGAACGCTTTCTCGTAGTTTCGTTTCGCCCGTTCCAGGGCCGCTATCTGACTGGTTAGGTTCTGTGTGCGTAGGGCGCCGTCGTTGAGGGACTTTTTGCGCTCATCGCGCAGATTTTTGGCCAATAGACTGATGCCTTGGAGGACCTGTAGCTGGAGGTTTTCGGCGACGACTTCCCGCTGACCGGCCAGGTCCGCCACCTCTTTGAGGACGCATTTGAACGCTTGGAACGAGGAGAACCTGTGGATGTGGGGGTGGAAATTAGCATCGAAGATTCTTGTATTTAAGAAGACCGTCTCAAAAAGTTGAAGGGCATTTGTTAGACTTTTTTTTTGATTTGGATAATAATTCTACCAGTAAATTCAATGGTATAGGATTGCATTGATTGGATTAGTGTGAATAAAACGATAAAATAGTATTGAAGACTCTAAATAGTGGTGAAGAAAGAGGGAAGGATTATGAATTTCCTCTTAATAGCTTATCCTTGACAGTCACTGAAGAAGTCACACATTTCAAACTAAATACGCGTATCTGCCATAGATCAGCGAATGGAATTAATTCTTAACAGGATTTTTTTAATGTTCTCAAAAATTTCCTTAAAATAATTCTCCTTCACAGAAATCTGCAGATCAGTCCACAGATTCTCTACAGAACACTAAAACTATATATTTTCTCCGAAAATTCTCTTCGAATTTATAATTACTTTTCCAAGAATTCGCCAAAGTGTCCATTCAATTATATTTCAAATTTGCATGACATTTTCTTACAAATCGCATGAATTTCATCTCAGTAATATCCTTCATCATTTATGCTTAGCATTAATCTTTACTGAAGTCTTTTGATAATTCACTTCAAACAATTGTCCTCAGAAATCTCTAGATTTTTTTCACGAATACCATTGGAATTATCCCAGGAAATTCTTTGTAACTCTTCATAGTATTCTTGTACCCTCAAAAATCTATTCCGTTCGAATGCATTTCGAAATTGCCATGTAACTCTTTTTTGATTTCACTTCTCAGAATATCTTTGGAATTTGCCCCAACATTATATTGGAAGAATACATGAATTCAATAACTTTAGAATATTTCTCAAAATTTCCATGAAATTCTCATCAGCACCAAGGTGAAAACAAATTGGTGTTCTAATTTGTCAAATTCATGATTCAGCCATGTGGATTTTTGTATGGAGGAGTGACCGAGTTTGTTCACAATTTGCTCTAAAACCTCACTTTTCCTCGCCCATATATTGACAAAGCTACATCACCATGTTATATCCACCATGATCAGAACTGTCTTGAAATTATTCCAACAAACTTATTTGGAACGGGTATTCATTAAAATTGGACATGGAATCCTGGTACCAATGATTTTTTTTTTCACAGAACAACCTACAAATTCTACTCTTGTGAAAATGTGGAAAATTTACAATTTCAGTGTTAAAAAGTGTTAATTGAATGTACAGAAGTTGTGTTGAAAAGTGCATTAAGTGAAAATCATCAAATCCTTCCCTTTCCATTGCATGAGGTGCCCTCCGTTCCGAATAAAGCGCAGCAACGTTCAGCTAAGTTTATTTGCCTTTTAGTTCCTCTTTCCTCTATAACAGCACTTCCCAGCGTGTGGCCTGCGGCCCGGACGTGGTCTCTGGATCTCAGCAATGATATAACTCTAGTGGAATTTTGTTCATCATTATGAGTTTTAGCCCAGGAGGAATCAGAAATATTCAAAGATGCAGCCATTTAAAAAATACAAGATTAGGAAGATTGGACAGGACTTATCCCTCTAAATTGAGACGATCATTTAAATTACTAAATACCCGTCAATCTTTTATCTAGAGGCTATTTGAGCTACGGTCTAACTCCCGGGTCCAAGCTTCTTGCGTTCATAAGAACTTATTTCATACATAATGCCACTGCCAGACAGTGGGAGTTAGATTGTAAACAAACACACGTGGCATGGCAGCCGTTTGAAATGTCATTGACCAATTCAAACGGGGAAATATTCCGCCAGAATTAAGTAGCGAGCTTTTCCATGATTTCTTGGATTCTCAGGACTATCCCGCACGGCCAATGAGATCAACTTAAATTTGAGTTCAGTTTGCTCATAATCGCAAAGAGTGCAGAAACTCAGCGATGAGTAAATTTGCCTCATGTTTTCCGTTGGAAAAACTCAAAAAAAAAAATGGCAAAGTTTTTCTCTAGTCTATGAAGACTGAGAGAATCCAATCTTTACTTTTCTCATATTCGGGAATTTTTTTTCCTGGAAATCCTGCAGAAACATGAGCAAATTTACTCATCGCTGAGTTCCTGAACTATTTCCGATTTATGAGTAAACTGCACAACCGTTTAAGCAAACTCAAAATTCGCTTCTTCTCGTATACAGGTAGATTTTATACATAATACCACTGCCAGACCACTGCCAGACACGAGTGTGATTGTAGATACATACAGTACATACAATAAATGAACGAATGAAAAATTGCATCAATCAAATGTGTCAAAATTAGTCTGTTTTTTTTTTATAAAATCTTTATTCTAATCCTAACATATAAACATGTCTTACAAGCTAAGCTATTCTAAACTAATTACAGGCATTTATTTCTAAGAAGAATTTGAAGCTAGGCAAGGAGATCATATGTCGTTCTGTTTCCAAAATATATTGACTAAACTGAACATATTTTCTTAGAATCATAATTTTGTCATCCCTGCTAAACTCTTCTAAGGTTGAAGCTATCAAACTGGAAAAGGTTAAGAAGCGCATTAAACGAGGATCAAATCTGTTTAGTAAATGTCTAATAAAATAGTTCCATGACTGATTGACCGAAAAACGTTTACAAAATATATGCTCAAGATCTTCGAGGAATCCGCATGATAAGCAATTAGGGTTGTCAGCAATACCTATGCGATACAAATGAGCTCTGTGATCAATTTTCCTATTATAAAGTAAATTAGGAATAGATTTTTCATTTGAGTTCAGGTTCTTTAAGTTAATATTATTCCAGACACGTGGCCAATTGTTTTGTTCTTTAGTTTCAATAGTTGGTCTAGGCAATGATCCAATTTTATCAGAATATAGTTTTGTCATAGAAAAAGGTTGTGTTAGATCATGTTCGTAAAACAAATTCATGAAAGAAGGATACATATGTGGTAATATAGTAACAGGTTTCCTAATGACTACTGACTACTGATATTAGGCAGAATATAATTTTTCAACAAACACGTGTCGGTCGAATTAGGATTTATCCCAGGCTACTATTCTAGAAAAACGTAATTGATAGATATTGGGCGGAACGCGTCGGAATGTTTAGAAAAATAGGGCGCACGCTTGATCCGGTTTAAGATACATTGTTGACTGCTTTCGGGAACATGATTTCATTTTAATAACTTGTTTACTTGTTTAACCAGGGCTTAAGCAATCGTCACGTCGGTCATAGCTTGTTATGATAGCCTGAACAATGCGTAAAGAGCAAACCGCGAAACATTGAACGTCGCGTGAAAGTGGAACTTAATGAAGGCCTAAGTGCTTTTTCGTAACTTTTAGTTTTCGGATTAGAAAAATCATCGGTTGCAGGACAGTGTTACCGATTTATATTGGATAATCCAAAGCTATGTTGATCATTATAACATTAAATTTTGAATAACAAATGATAAGACAATCTTATTCAAATGTCGTAATAATACCACTGACCAAGAAAAAATGATTTATATAGTTTTCATAAAAGTTGACGATACAAATACTAATGAGGAAAGGAATTCCGCATTTCCTTTTCCCAAGTCCTTTTCCTCTCCTTCCCTTCCCTTCTTCTCTTTTCAGAAAGCGAGTAATGGCGCTATAACCATATGCCATATAGGGCTAGGACAAGAGTTAGTGCTCAAGTCCCAACCGCTAGAAGAAAATGGTAGCGAGCAAGGGCGCTATAACCTAGGCGAATACAGCATTCCCTCCGTATAGGTTACGTCCGCACACCGCTCTCTGTTGTCCTTCGACTGAGGTCGGCTGGATCGATTGAGGGATGGCAGTGGGTGGGCGGTGCCGTCCACGCTTGTACGGAGGGAGGACTGTACGCTCGAACACAAGGGGTAAATACCTGTGTTCCATCCCAGGAGATCGGACAACCAAGGAGTGTACATTAACTTTCTTAGCTCTGTCACTCCCAACGATTTATATAGCCTATTTTCAAATCCTGCATACGGAGCGGTTGGTACGGTATGTCCCCGCTCTTTGATTACCTGTGGATTAAATGTTAACCACTGTCTATACTTATTAAGTAGACATGGTAAACATTCACTTCCACAAAAATTAACTAAACGCTACACAGTAGGCCTGGCCGCTTTATTGTTTGTTTCACATCCTTGATGTGCAGCAGGCATTAATAATGACAAGAAAAATGATAGATGTATCATTTTCCAGGATTCTTTCAAGTACTGGCTGTGTATGTGTAGACTAGACTAGACTAGACTAGACTAGACAGAACAACCTACAAATTCTACTCAGAAATCTTCTTTAATTGCTCCTGGAACTCTTCTCACAATTACCTTCCCACATATTCCCTGGAGCTCTAGTCTAACCACCAAGAACCCCCTTGAATTTTTTTTCTCATTAATATCATGCTATTATCCGTAGAATTTCTTCGCAATTCTCCTCAAATTACCTTAGAGGAATTGAAATTTTCATTAAAATTCACCTAATGACTCTTCAAAGTGACAGAATCCAGATAATACACACAGAAAAAAAAAACTACAAAGGACAGCCCTATGGGGTTGTACGCAATGGTGACGTAGGACTACGTGGTCTTATATCCTATCGATTAAAATACATCATCTCTGGATCAACATCAGACCACTTTCATGCCGCGACCGACTTTGGTTTTTTTTAAATTGCACCCCCAATGTTGCCTTAAAGTACATGGTATGTTAGATTTAAACATATCTAGATAGAGCTGAGCTGGAATTAGACGTAACAGCTTTTGTAAACAATTACTCCTCTCGATGATTTTTCGGAATTCAAGGCACGCCCACGTAAACCAACTTTACCGTCGGGTAGGGGAAGTCTTTCCCTATCTGATGGTGATGTTCATTTGCGTGGGCGAGCCTTGCCTTTCAAGACATCGTAGAAAGAGGTCATTGTTTACAAAAACTGTTACGCCCTAATTCCAGCTCTATGTGTATATGGGAACTGACATCCGATTGATGACCTTGAAAAATATCCAAAACATACTCTTTGACAAATTTATGGTGGTTCTGAAAAGGACCGTTTGTCGTGATGGTTGAGTAATGCTGAGCTATTAGGGTGTTAAACACAGATGAGGCTGGTGAGCTGTATGTTGTTTGGAACGAGGGTGACGCGCTTGGCATAGATGGCCTACAGCGACTCACGTAGAGCTACTGATTCCGATCAATAGCGGTACGGCTTCTTCCTCCTTCTATGGATGCTCATGTGGGCTGCAGCTCGCTTCTTGCAGGCAGCCTTTCGTTGTGTACTGGAGAACAATGTTCAACGCCACGCGCCGAAAGCACTGCTGCTGCTGCTGATGCCGACGACCGGACACCACCACACACGGTGATTGGAACTGAATCCGATCAGCGGTTGAGGCCAGCTTTGATAGCTAGCTGCTGGAGAACACCACCACTCACCACGCGATGATTGAATAAACACCGTTTGGTGAGACCGGATGGAATTCAACTTTGAAATCTGTGTTAGGGTAATCGGTGATAACTTTAATCATCATAACAACAGTTGCACATTCGTGCAATTTTCAATAGTGACATTTTGGAAAATGATAAAGTCTTAAATTCAGCAGATGCGTCGAAATATTTCTGATCGATTGGTGATAAAATTATTGAAATTGGTCCAGGGACAGCTGAGTTATTAACGTTCAAAATCTTTCATAATTTTGTTACATGTTCCATCTTTGGTTTTCACAAAGATTACCCCCATATAGAAATCACAGACATAGTCCTACGTAAAAAATCTGAATTTTAATGGGGTCGTTAATGTTTAATAATGCATATATTCATGCATGTAAACTTCCTTTCCATGGCAACTTGCAAGAAATGTTGCGTACAAAGATGGATGGTTGCATTCAAAATCTGGAATATTTCGTGAAATATCTCATAAATTTACATGATCTATATGGTACAGCGGGGCAACTTGAAACGCGCGGAGAAGTTGAAACGGTAAGTGTACCTCTTAGCGGAAGTGGTACCTTAATGTAAACCTGTATGATATATGACGCTTCCTATATGTGCATCTTAGAAACAGAAATTTTCACTACTTTTTCGAACTGTGCAGTTCAAGCCAAGGGTCATGGAAATTTTTCAACGTCCAGAACTTCATTTATGTTTCACAAAAACACTTCACGGATTCAATGATTCTGAATTGCCGGCTGTTACCCAATTTCCCTGATATCGCGGTTCATTGGTTCGCATTTAAATGGACATTATTTTCTCGTTTTCCGAGCTGCAGTCTTCCCATACGCCAAACAAATTTCTCTTGCATCCAATGTAAAGTTGGATTTATTGCAGCCTCTGCATATGTTTCATACAACAAATGTAATAGCAGTTTTTGCAATGGCAGCGTACAAGCAAGTTTTCCACAACGCTTATTTTCGAATAAAACTTTCACGAGATGATTTTAAAGATGCAATGCATTTTGGAAAACTTACTGTGTTCGAAAATTAAAATAACATAAATATTACAAAATATTTTAAAAAACTCTTCCGGCGACTACATTACAGAATCTGTTCATGCGGTCTAACATTGCAAATTTTGCATACTTTTCTGCCTCTTTGCTATTGCAACATTATAGACGCCAACAATCATCAGCATTGAATATCTAAGCAAACACAAAATTACCTTAAAATCGATGAAATGGTTAAAAATGGTAAAAACGACAAAAGTTTGAGAATATTTTATAGAAGTTCGGAGAACTTCATTTAAATAACGAAGAGCTTCAAAAATCAGAGAAATTCATAGATAACACTGTACGGAAATTGTATTTTTGTTTATGTTTCAGGGAGTATCATTGGAATTTAGGTAATTTCAAAGAAGTGAGAGGTATTTTATAAAAGATCGGGGAAAATCTTAGGAGTTCTGAGAATATCATAGTATATTATAGAACTTCATGGAAATCCACGGATCTGCACAGAATTTCATGGCAGCGCTTGCGTCTTTTACATCGAGAAGATATTCTCTCATGCACACTTAGTTTTTTTTTTGCCGAACCTAGACAATTTTTTGCCGAGATTTGCACAACCGAGTGCTCGGCAATCAATTTTACTGAGATCTTAGCAAACATGACGTTGTTTGCTGAGATTCAGCAAAGGATTTTCTGAGACTCTGCAACCAAGCGACACTTTTGCTGAGATCTCAGTACAACAGATTGCCGAGCACTCGGCTAAAAAAACTAAGTGTGATATGATACCAGGCTGCTCAGAAATTATTCCAATGATCTTCAGGTGTTTTAAAATCTCCATGAAGTCCATTAGTTATTTTTTCAAGACTCCATGTTGGTCAGGCATCATTCTGAAAATATCCTACTATCCAATAATCTAAATCACATCTCTCAAATATCCTCTCATATGGTAACAGGCAGCTCAAAAATTATTCCATGTGTTTTAAAAAGTCTATAAAGTTTTCTGGAATTCAGGTTGATCAGGTACTATTCTGATGAAGATCTCAAACTATCCAACAATTTAAATCACATCTCCAAGATATTCTGTCATGATACCAGGTGACTCAGAAAATATGTCAAAGGCCTTCAGGTGATCAGAGATCTCCAAAAACTTCTCAGGATGTTCTCATTTCTTCCGGTTGATTTAGTATAATTCTGAAGATCTTCAACTGCCCAACAATTTAAATCATGTCTTTCCAATATTCACCCACGATACCAGGTTGCTTATAAATAGTTTCAAAGACCATCAGCGATCTCCATAAATAATCATACTTTCTTTACATGTTTCGACAGCAGAATCGTTCGCGACCTCTTCTCGTGGTTCGAACTCGTTACCTGTTCGTGTTCTAGTTTCATTTTTAACAGAGTCAAATTTTAGAACTGTCGCGTAGTTTGAAACAAATTTGAAGCTCAGCATTGCGAACGGCCCAAGGGAATCCAGAATAAATTACTCAAACCACCACAATAAAATCTCTTCAGTAAGGATTTCGATAAGAGGTTTGGTTTGAATTTAACTGTGGTTGAAATTTTATTTTTAATTCCCAACAATTTAAAAAAAAGAATGAATTTTAGGCTACTTTTACTTGTTTTTAAGACCGTGCATTTCGTAGTTGTTTGTCCGTGATTGATCAAAACTATAACACTTCCACAGAGAACCACGGAGCATAGGATTAGCTTTAAGCCGTTTTTACTAACTAAAAATTAGCATCAAATGAGTGTTCTTATTTTACCTCAATTATGGCATGGAAAATCATTTACATTCATTTCGAGCATTAATTTACATTCATTTAGCTCTAACTTTTTTCGTCAAAAGAATTCCGTAAAATGATGTATTATGCTTTTGTAGGTTTTAATATTAGATACAATTTCCGTCAATTGCTCAAATCTGTATCTCTTATGCATGATGAACTGAAGAGAACAGAACCCACCATTGTTTTTCAGTGAATGTAAATTACATTCACTGAAAATCAAAGACGAGTTCTGTCCGCTATAGTTGTTCATGCTTAATAGATAGAAGTTTGAGATTATGACCAAAGTTGTAGCTAATATTAAAAAAAACTACAAAAGTTTCATGCATCATTCTACATAATGCTGTTGATAAAAACAGTTAGAGGCAATTGAATGTAAATGAATGCACGAAATGAATGTAAATGATTTCCCATGCCTGATTATGGCTACCCATTTAAGAAACCGGAAGGTCCCATCGGCGCAAAGTAACAAGTAACAATTTTGGTTTTAATGTAGTTCAAAATACTACGAAACTTTGGACCTTCTTTTGCCACTAAGGGTATTCACATGGCTCGAATCGGTAGATGTTATGTTTAAGATTGACATTATTCAGGTAGGTTTTCAAATTTAAGTGAATCTGTAACCAAATTCAAGAGCATTTAGGTGGTGTTAGTGTTTGTAATCAGTCGCATTGTGCAAATATTTATTGATTTTTTTGGAAAATTTTGAGGATATTAGTTGATCATTTAATGACGATTTTTATCAGAGATCTCTTGCTAGAATTAATGTAATCAAATTCATGTCTAGATTTGATTGCAGTTCCTATTATTTTGAGCATAACCAGCTTTTTTTTAGCAAAACAACAAATCGGACTGAACATATAGAAACCAAATTATTGTTAGCTCGAAATTCTTTTTTTTACATGCCGTTTAACACAGCAGGAACTAATTCCTCCTCAAACAGCCCTTCAACTTCAAATTTCACACAACTGAAACGATTACGACTTCTCACCAATTTCTTAAGCCCAATTACACAAATCCCTACCACACAAAAGCTTCCAAAGGGCATTCATCAAAATCCAGTTATTGCACTTGATTGGGCTTCTTATATGCAGCATTCCATCGCCCATTATTGGTGGAAATTTAATCACAAAAAGCCATTCATCCAGAAGGGCTGAACCACAACGGGCACCGACTGCCAGTCAGTCAGTCAGTCAGCCTCTATCATTATGATCTCTAACGGATTTTTAATCACATTACCCGATTCCCGATACTTACTCATTTTCTTCGTCTTCTTTGCTCTTTTTTGGTTGATAGTTTTTGACGAGCCGCCTGAAAATGGATAAAAGAAAAGAAACCCAATAAGTACAAATCCATTGAGGAGGAAATTTCAAACCAATAAAAATCTAGATTATTTTTATTGCACTGAATCGATTTGGTTGCTCGAGCGCACTGAAACCGTTAGGAAAAGTTAATTGAAGTAGTGAGAAGCTGCAGATACGGAGCAATGGGTTCGGATGAGAAAGCTGCATCAAGTGTCGCCAATACTAAGATGATTACGGTAATCACCATTAGTAAAGTGCACGTCTTAATACGCGTTAGTAGTTTCTTGTTGTTTTTTTTCCGTTCGGAGATAATGACTATGTTTCTAACTTCTATCTTGTGGAAACACGGTTCAAACAGAAAATGACTATCATACGACGATGACGACGCGGTGGTCGAATGAGTTCGTGTCCAATCAACCGTATAGATTCGTCATTCTGACGAGCTCCAACTCTTCACGTCCACACCTCGGCTCGATGATGTCTTGATCAGACACACGAAGGAGGAAATAAAAGGTACCTAATACAAATTGCTTAGCTGGAGATGTAGTGTAGTGCCCCACAGACCCAATGTTACTTACTACACACTACGACGGCGACGGCAACGATTATGATGATGGTGCTGATGACATTGAAACACATACGTTCGGAACTAATGACTTAAAGCGTGAAACTTGCTGCATTCTTTCGTTATAGTGGGAAAGGTAAATAGAAAGATTGAAGCGGAACTTCCACCGCAGGCAAAGTGACACACCGAGGAAGTGGGCACAGTATGGAAATGACAAGCGAAAAGGGCTGTTATTAGCCGCCTTCTGCGGATATGCTTGATTTGGATGCTAGCCGTAGAGCATTACTATGTAATGCTCGAATTTCAATACAAGATCAAAGAATGTAACACGACATAATCTATTGATGTTTCCGTATTAATTGATTCGGTTTCTTGGAAAATTAAATGACACAAATAACAGCGCATCTTCTTTGCCAAACTGCATTCCAACCGTATTAGTCAGCACCTTAGTCAATATAGGCAACACACAACAAACATCGTTAAGTACGTGAGTGCATCAGTCAGCTCTGCAGTCGTATAGCTTTATCAATAATAGCACCTGCGTGTGTATGTCCTCAATTAACATATACCAACCTACAGATAAATCGATGCAAATTACAAACAAAGCATTCGATCCATCTCATCAAGAGACCAGCTGACAGTGGTCGCAATCCATTATGAGGCAAACATTTGCATGGAATTCATCGTAATAATCATGATAAGTGATGGACTGAGTCTGTCAGATTGAACCATCGCCATTCCTGAGTTTTTCAGCCACATCGCTCACTAAACAGATGATTGGTGTGATTGCAGGTTATTTGGCGCTAGTGTGCTGATGGCGGCGCACTATGGTAGCTGCCAGGCCGGTATTTCGCACATCACGCCCGTGCGAAGATTTAACGGGTCGTGAATCTGTTGTGTACAATTTGTAACAATTAGTAATAACTGTTGTTAGCGAAGCATAACTCAACCGATCGATCGCGATTGGCAATCGAAATTCTGCTGTCAATTACAGGTTATATATTGGGTCAAATGAATAAAAGTATTTTTTTCAGTGGCTAACCTGACACAGCTGATTTTACTTCTCAAGCGAATGGAACAGTGGCATGGAATGTTGTTGTGATTGTCGGATTACTTTGCTTTTTGCTGCAGTTCAAAATCGTAAAATGTACTGCGTTAGACCTCTCATAAAGTAACGTAAGTGCAGGGTTTCTTGGATATGTATTGGAGCTGATGCGTTACAATTGTACTGATTGGGATGTTTTCTTCAATAAGCTTGATCTGAACTTTAGAATTTAAATTACTGTTTTTCCCGGTTGCCTAATTAAATTTTCTGGAGTACAATAAACAGCTGAATATGATAAAAAGTATTTTCAGAAATAGATCCAGCAAAAAACTTTTTTGAAAACAGTTTTTACAATTACACAATTGGTCTATGAAATATGTTATCTGTTATCGCTTCTGCAATATTTGGATATCTGTTGCGACTCAACACTTCACAATGTGTTTGTTTATGTTTAGAAGAGATGCATAATATCTAGCAAAATGTCACTTGAAGGGCAAATCCTCTGCAGAAAAAAGTAGTGAATTGAAATGATGCCGTAAAATATGTTATAGACATTTATGCACGGAGAAGGATTGTCCTGCATTTCCCCTAGTATCCAAAAATATGTACGGAATTACTAGCAGAATTCTTAAATATTCTAAGGGAATTTTAAGGAACGCCAGAGAGAATTCCAAATAAACTCACTGAAGAATATTTCCTAATGAATACTGAGTAACACTCCAGAGATATTTTGAAGATAGTATGCTCCAACCCCCCTCCAACTCTGCCTACTTAGTTTATGGACAAATCCTAATGTTAATCACTCAATCCAATCCAAGTTAATTTTCAGGAAAAGCTCAGCAGAGCAAATTTCCAAATTAATCTAATTGTCAGGAATATGCCAAGGAAATTCTGCGGAGAGTTTCAAACGGATTCTCAAGAGATCTTCACGGAAATTTTTGGATGAATATTAATTAAAATTTTGCGGAGAATCTCAAGATAATTTTGAGAATAATTCCAATGATTTTAAATCCCGGAATCTACGTGTGTTCAAAATGTATGCTTACGAATATTGAAAATTTGTAGAAATCTAGGATCTTCCCATTTTCTCAAGTCCTTATAACTATTTTTTGTTTGTTTGGGGTTTAGAGCTGATCAATTTTCTATGCCTGGGTTTTTTTTTTAATATCCGAGATCCCGATTTATTATCTGTCAGTCAATGTATTCAAACCCCAGGATATCAAAAGTTTCTTAGTCTAGAATCTCTGGGAACATTATATTTTTTCGAGAAATGGATCATGAAAATTTGACAAATTCACAATATTGAATATTATTCTTGATTTGGGATATTGAAATTATTTACTTGTTCGAAAATCTTTAAACTGCTCCAAGCACGAGATTTTGCTATGCCTGGGATTTTTTTGAAAGCGCATGATTTTGTTTCTTCTGAATTCAGGATCTTGATTTGAATCTGTGTTTTACTCTGGGCCTTGATTTTATTCCATTATCCAAGATTTTAATTAAACTATTTCCACAAGACCGAGATCCGATAAATTTCTTACAACCTTGGTTTTAGTTAAATAAATTATTGTTTGTTGTTTATTGTGGTTGGTTATTGTTAATACATTCAAAATTAAAATAATATCAGTGCCTCACAAATCGTCCAGGATGTTAAAATTAGAAACATGAATAAGTCCGGAATTTGTGGAAACTCAAATGATCCAGAATCTTGCCTTGGATTTTAATAAAAAGTTAAGCCCGCAATCTTCAAAACTTTCTTTAGTACGAAACTTTGAAACAGAAAACGTCCCAGAACCTTGAACAAATTGTCCATGTCTTGGATCATTATAAATATTCTAGTCCAAGAGCTTATTCCCCAGATATAAAATTATAAAAAAATATTCATGTCTAAGATTTCTCCTCATTAAAGTTTTTAATACAGTTAATAATAAGACTGAGAAATATTTCCCTGAATTTAAAGAAAATTCCCTGAGTTTCCAGGTTATAAATGCAATTCCCTGACATTCCTTGAATTTCCAGTTTTTCAGGTAGTCGACAATCTGTTTTAATGTAATTCTTGAGAAAATTCCAAAGATATACTATGAAGAGTTATTTTTTAGAAATTCTAGCAATTATTTAGTTAATTCATATGCTTTCATATGAAATATATTCACAGAAATTCTAGATTCTGAGACTTAAAAAAAAATTGGATCGCATACTAGGAAAAATGTTAGATACGTCGGACGGAGAAATTCTAGATTCTATGAACTAAAAAGTTTTCAGGATTTTCAAAACTCATTTGCTTATTTTTTGAGATCTCAGCCTAGGATATTTTTTTGGCTTATTAAGCACAACCCGCACTTAGTCTTTCTTAATCTAGCGCAGTTTAGCACCAAACGGAATGTTAATATTACTGATGGCTTCCAAATTTATTTACCTTTCCGTACGTATCGTAAGATTTGATAAAGAGAAACCAATCATTGAGATATTGTCAAAAGTCTAACACTGCTTCTTGACACCAAACTCAGCCTTCGGATTCTAAACTCGGCCTAACGCATTAAAAAGCCAATGAAATCACTTCGGCCTATCGGATGAAGATAAAAATTGATTCGGACGGAGCGTTTCTTATGTTTTTGGGAATAATGGGGGCAAACCTTCATATCACGCGTTCTCATTGACTTCGTTCGGTAGCTTACTAACTAAAGTATCGTACCAAACGCATAATTGACTTGTTCACTCTGAAATCATGGATTTATTTGAAGTTTTCTGCTCGATAGGCCCAAAATGGGCGATTAAGCTGAAGTAGTTCTCTACCCTACGCCCATTGTCTACAAACTATGAAAACCATAAAAAAACAACTACAATCAAAGTTCATCGATACAAAACTTAAATTTTTAAACTTTTTGTATTTTTTTCTGAAAAGTATTTTAATAACCTTTTATTTGATATTTTGATTATTCAAAATATGATAATAAATATGATTGGGCCGATTTCCAGTGGTTCAAAAGTTATGATTTTTTTTTAAAGTCACCCTAACATGGAAATGGTCAACCTAGTGAAAAAACAATACGGGTCTAATATTTTTCGTTAAGGAACAAAACTACCAATTGTTACGAAATTCAGAGCTAAATTTTGCTATGGAATTAAACAACCATATCCATTCTAAAAGAAATATTCGAAATACTAGATTTAGGATCTGTTTAACTAATTCCGAGACAGTTCGTTTGAGTTATATTGTAGTACTGATTCAACATCATGGATTAATCAAGCATTTTCATTGTTTTGTCTTCTTCGAATTGATATGTTGTTCTCGATTTTCTCGGTTTAGTGACCATCCATTCAGGAAAAAATAACCTTCACATTTCCCCTACTCGTCACGTTGTGGTGGTGGTCCTAAAGAGATTGATGTTGTTTATGG